CTACTATGTCTCTCCTACCATAATTAGGATTGAGACTCCTAGTATATATATTCACATGTAATCACCACAATTCATCAATGAAAATATTCTTTCTACATGGTATCAGAGACACATAAACCCTAAACCTTAAAATCTTCTTCTTCCTCCTGCGCCGGCCTCTCTCGGCTCTCCCTCTCACAGCCGCCGATCTCTCTCTCTCTCGGCAACCTCCTGCCGCCGGCACCCTTCCCCAATCACCATGACGGACAGCGTTGTTACGTCCCCAAACACCACCTCTAAATCCCCACGTCTTGCCTTCACCACCATCTCTAATGTCAAACTCCATGTCCCCATTCAACTGAGTTTTTCTCAACCCAATTATAAAAAGTGGAGCCGATTGTTTCTTCTTCTTGTTCGGCGTTTCAATCTTCATGGTTACATCTTTGGAACCGTCGTCCCTACCTCCGACGACGACGATGAATGGTTTCAACTGGACGCTCTTCTTCAAGGCTGGATTCTCTCCACCATCACCGACGAGGTTTCGGACCTTGTCATCTCTTCCACCACCTCTGCAGCCTCTCTCTGGAAGGTGATTCATGATCTCTTTCACGACAATAAACACGCTCGTGCCATGCAACTCGAGCACCAATTCCGTACTACCGTCAAAGGGAACACCCCCATGGCTACTTATTGTCAAAATCTCTTTAACATCGCCAATTGGCTAGACGATGTTGATGGGCCGGTATCACAAAATCAACTCGTACTTCAGATGCTACGCGGACTGCCGGAGGATCTTCAGGCTCAAACTTCGTTCCTCCAGTTTCAAGACCCGCTGCCCACGTTCCTTCAAGCCCGATCGGCTCTACTTCTGTTGGAACGACAACGATCCCCGATGGACAACCACGGCACTACAGCCCTTGTTGCACGTTCGGGCAGCTCTTCAACTGGGGGTTAGGGCAGCAACCACACGCCGCAGGGCAGCAGCTACACCGGCGGCAGCAGGGCGGTTTTGGCAGCGGCTACATCGACGGCTCCTCGGGACAGCGCAGTGGCTATGGGCGAGGTCGCGGACGTGGCAGCTCCAACGGATCAAGGCAACGACCACCCACCGATGGCTATAATACTTGGAACTCACCTCACCCGAATCCCAATCCGGGGCTGCTGGGCCCACGGCCCACCCCCTCACCCCACCCCTACCAAGCCTACGCCTATCACACCACATCCCCAACCCCACCCTCCCCC